GGCCATGGAAAGTCTCAAATGTCCACCACGCCCTATCACCCATAATTACACTCGACAAGGCCAAATGAGAGCCTCGCGTGATCCAGTCAGAGTCAAACGTCTGCTCCCAAATGTGTCAAGTTCCCGGTCTGGCTCTCTCTCTCTCTGAGCACCTTATTATAAACCATCAATCTATACCATCCCAAAAAAGACCGACTGCAGGCTGACTGCTTTACCGTTGTTCATTTTCCATGCCTTCATTAAACGCCTTCGCTGGTTGAATACTGCCTAGAATCCAAGGTCCAATCTTTCGCCCGTCGTCCTCGAGTTGAGGAGCTCCATCATGGTCAAACATCCTCATCTTCCGATTTGTCAGACCCGTCATCGTCTTCATCATCATCGTCGTCGTCCTCCGAGTCCCATCCCTCGGCCTCCAAGTTGGGCGATCGGATACCGAAGCTTAACAAGAATCCAATAAATGAAATACCGCCAAAGACGCCAAATGCTAGGGCTTCTCCCTTGGGGCGGACTCGGGTGGCAAGTGAGAAGAGACTGCCCGAGACAAATGGGCCGACGGCTCGGCCTGCAGCTGAGAGTGTCTGTGCAAGGCCATTGAGAGTCCCCAGGACAGAGTGATTAGGCGCCGAGTTGGTGATCTGCGCATATAGTCAGGAGAATTACTCACCGCCGTCCTGCGAAAAGACTCACCAATAATAGAGCGCTGGTTAGACCGCCTACTGCCGCCACCGTTTTGATAAGAAGGACAGTACAAATCTCTAGCCATAACCATACCGCGCCATGTGTACCCATTTTTCCGTCAGCATCGTCTTTGTAACCCACCCAAGGCATAAGGACGTAGGCAATCACAAATCCAGCTAAACCAATTCTGTATGCCCATCTATTCCCCATCATGTCCCGCAGTTTGCCGAAAACACCAATCTGGAATAGAATGGTCACTACTCCGGCGAAGGCGAGCGACAGACCGATCTCTTCTGGGTCGAGGTTCCGGCCAGTGGGTGGTGAGGCTTGGGCAAAAATGGGGTAGAGCGAGTTAAAGGAAATGTTAGCTAGTTGGAAAATGAGGTATGTCACAAGGAGGAGGATGGTGTCTCGGTTGAGCACATCTTTCTTCTTCAATTCTTCCGAGGCAGGGAAGAACACGGGAGGCTCTGTCCCGCCATCGGTATCTTCGTCGTCTGAAACCTCCGCAAGACCATTCGGATGGACTGGGGTTTGGTGGCTTTTGCCTTTTCGGCGGAGGTAATGAGGTCTGCTGGAAGAGGTGAACTGCCAAAGCCATGAAAACAGGTTGCGCACCCTGGATCCCAGAGGTTGGAGATACTGTGCCTCTTCTAAGCTTTCCTCGAGGAAAAGCGACGTCAATACGAAGTCTACCAAGAGGATTGCTGCCGAGAGGAGGTTCGGTGGAAGGTAAGGGTACGGATTGGGCTTCGATGTATCGAAAGGATTGTTGGGAAACACCAACACGCCGCCAATGATGGGGCCGGTGATGCCTCCAAGGCCATAGATGACAGGGAGATAGGTGAAAGCCCGCGATTGATTGCTTCGGTCGGTAATCTCCCCAAGGCAGGTAGAGACAACGCCTTGGTTACCATTCAGCAGACCCATAAACGCTTGAACCGCAATGGCTTGTGGTAGCGTCTTCACAAAACCAAAGGCCACGAAGCAGGCAGCCGTAAATATTGTGCCCATCAATATTACCGGTTTTCTTCCAATGTGATCCGACAGCCATCCCCAGAAGAAATTTGTCGCCAGCTGCGCAAGCGCAAAGGCAGAAGCGATTGTCCCAACATATATGCCCACTTGGCCTTGTTTCACTTCGGGGAACGTCGACGCCATTGCAGGCAGGTAGGGGCTGATAGAATTGAGTGCTGTCTGTTCGCACAGAGCTATAACGGCTAAGATGGCCATCTGTTTCTTCGGCAGCGGCGAGCTGTGTTGGTGGTTGTCGTCACCATTGTGCAGGTCGTGGCTGGAGGAGTTGGAGGAATCCGACAGCGGTCGTCCACGAGACTTGGGAGGCGATATGCCGCCAAATGTCTGGTAGTGAGGAGTCGAAGACTTGCGACGAAGGAGAGGCCCATGATCGGAGGGCTTCATGACTGTAAATCAAGCATTCATCAGGATGGAGGAGGGCTGCCTGTGGCGGGGCGCAAGGCTAAGAGGCAACCTCAGAAGGACGAGGTATAGATGAAAGTTGAATGTCGAGCACAAAATACGGCAGTCAGCGTGCAACAATCTTCATGACAATAATGAACCAAGATGTGAGAGCCAAAATAGGCTCGATCGTAGCTGGCGATTTGGGCGGCTTGTAAGAAAGTCTTGACTTTTTGGCACCGATACATGGGGAACTTGCATGGGAAAGAGAGACTGCGCCCCGGGCCAATGCGGACTTCGAGTTCAAATGACGTATATACATGGTCAACTTAGCGAGGCCAGAAAAGGCAAATGACGAATGACGAATGACGAATGAGAATGGCGCTATTACATACCGGTATTAGTGGACAGTAGTAATACACCCACTAGCGAATGAGGAGGTACTCAGTACCACTACCATAAATACTAGGTACATCTCTAGATACTACAAGCAGGTAGCTGTATACTAGGTAGATACCCAGCAAGCCAGTATTTGATACACAGTCTGACCGTTCCTCTGTCTTCACACCCTTGTTGCATTAGGGCTATGGCATGCCGGGTATAATCATTATCTAATAGCTTCGCCGCAGTCCTCAGTGACAGTCTGGGGCTGGTATGATTGCATTCGTAAGGCTCAATCCGTTCCCGCCACGGCCACCTGCTCTACTTGCGACGTCACAGCTCCATTCTTAACTTCCCCTGCTTGATTTCCGTTCTTCGCGGTGTTATAATGTTGAGTAAAGTCGTATCGAAGCGCCATAGGCGACCGCATAAACTCTCGCTGGGCTTCCACATCGCCTTCGATATCCTTGAGCATCTTCAAAAAAGAATCATTCTCGAGTGCTTTGTCCGGGTCTTGATCATACAGTCGTTTGATGTTGTCCGTGGAGATGGGATCCGTGACTGTCTGATATCTCTGCCGCCGCATCTCGGAATACTTATCAAGTATACTTTCATCCGCTTTACCCTCATAAACGCCAATCATGCAGTCATATAAGCCACCGATATCCACAAGACCGCCGGTGAGTCCGAGACCACCAAAAGGGTTACAGACTAGAGTAATGCGTGAGCGTCACTTCGCACGGTGGTTCGTCCGACTTACTGTGTGCAGCATCTGCAGCGAGCATAAACCTGCCAACTCGCATCTTCTCCACCAAGCGCTGATGGATCTTGTACGGGCTGATCGCCGCAAGGTCATACTCTCCTGGCTTGGGATGACCGGGCAACATGGCCTCGTATTTCATGGGTTGCCGTGCAATCAGTTCTTCTCGAGTGAGTCCAGAGATCTCTCCGTAGCTGACACGCCACCAGCCGCTGCCGTCTGCATTTTTGGTGAGACGGGCAACCATATGCCAGTGCTCTGGGTGAATAAAGAAATTGGCATCGTCGTATCCGAATTTTTCGAAAGGGTACGCCACCTAGGGAGAAAAAATGAGAACGAATAAAGAGAAATGAAAATATTGGCTTGCTTACATTCGTCGCCACGATCTGTTTGTCCCAGGTATAACCAGGGAAATCCTTTGCGCCGTACAGCTTTCTTCTGACTGTGCTCGATGCACCATCGCAACCCACGATGTAAGTTGCCTCAAGACGTTTCGGGCCCTCGGGAGTCTCAACATCCACCCATGCCTTGTCATCATCCTGACCAATATCCATCACTTTGTGGTTGAAGAACACTTTCAGACTGGGCTGCTGGATGGCGTGTCTGTACAGCAATCGATCGAGTTGCGCCAATGGCAGACACGCCAGCCGATCCGGGTCGTCGTGCATGAGGGTGTTGTCGAACCCAGCAAGATAAGTGCCGTCGAGTTTTCTCCAACATGTCTTTACCGGATCAAACCCTTCCTTTCGAATGTCATCAATGACTCCAGCACGGCGTAACTCATACGCAGCCGGAGGACCATAATACGCTGCGCGAGGAGAGTCATCCAATTCACCAGCGGCTTCCAGGATATGGACAGTGACCCCTTTCTTCGCCAGCATCAGACCCAGAAGCAAGCCAGATGGTCCAGCACCGACGATGATTGTCCACGGTTTCTCAGGAGACGCCATTTCGGTATCGATGTATTGCAGGCCGCGAAGACACGTGAAAGGGCTGTATAACTCCAAGTGAAAAAGCAAGAAGCGACAGGTGGACGATAGTATGCTAGGAAGGGTTTCGTTATGTTTTTGGTTTTATATCTGGCAGGGATAGTGTCAAGCCCCGCGATCTTTCTCCATCCAATGTCAGGAGATGCAACACCATCTCGAACCCACGTCCAAGATTATGGGGGGTTCTCCGGAGGTGGAGAGGGCACAGATGACCGAATTAAACTGCCCACGGCTGACTTGGCCTCGCCAGTAGGAGGTGGGGCAGTGGTTGGTGCCATTGTACGAGATACATCTGCAAGTCGGATAGGAACGAAAGAACTGCTAGGATCTTGGGCCTTGCTGCTTTCTCGGTAGTTGGATCGCAGGTTTGTACCTTGGACTGAAGAGAGGGCAATGCAAGCAAGACGAATCGATAGAATAGCGTGTAGTAGGTGTCTTGAATCTGTGCGCAACCACACGGTCCTCGCTCTACTCCAACAGTTAGCCTTGTTCACTTTTCCCCCAAATCGAGCGCAGCCATCCTCACAGCCCCGCATTGGAGTGCATCCAGGCTGCCAGGAAAGTCAGAGGTCAGTATCCCGGCATCGATAGGGCATTCAGCCACTGTTTGATCAGTAACGGCTTGATCACTGACGAGAGCTTAGTGGGGCTTGCCCGGGCGACCTCGGTCTTGTGTCGTTGTTCTTTTCACCACAGACGTGTTCTTACTACCTTTTCATTAATCTTATTGAGAGATCCACGAACCGTGTATCTGACCAAATCCGCCCGAAGCGATGTCCAGTGCCCAGGAGAATAGCGTGGCTGAAGCCCACAAGATCTTTTACGACCAAGGCTTCCAGATCCGAACCGAAGTCGCTGGGCCCGAACATGTCCAGCGTTCTCTTCAAAACAACTCTTCTGATTTTGCTCGGCCGATGCAAGACTTGGCCACGGAGGTGGGATGGGGAATGATCTGGGCCCGGCCGGGACTTGGTGAATCCTTCTCCCCTTCTTACACGTCTGTTTCATCTCGGAGGAGTTATCATTGAGACGAGTTTCTGTCAAGACTGGTAGAGGCTAACATTGAGTTGCAGAACGTAAGACCAGAAGCTTGTTAAATATCGCCATGCTCTGTGCTTTGAACCGAATGACTGAGCTAGCTGTGCACGTCAGAGGAGCGGTTCACAATGGGGCGAGTGAAGTGGAGATTCGAGAGGTTTTGATGCAGGTTGCGATCTATTGTGGAATGCCAGCGGGGCTAGAAGGGGTTCGAGTTGCTGAAGGAGTATTGAAGACCATGAGGGAACAAAAGGAGTCTTGACTTGGACTGATGAATTCAATGGGAAGAGGGAAGAGAATGCTGCACGTGCGCAACGTTGGCGTGAGAGAGAAGCTGCACATTTCCGCCAACACATCATCACAAATCACAACAGGAACCTGCCTGAGTGTTTCATCCTCCCAGGGCCTGGTCAATTATTAAGACGATCATCTTGTAGGTAGTGAACTTGTTTATATGTACTCGGTAAGGGAGACCATTGGCAGAAGTGGAACTCTAGCTATCACTGAGCAATTCATCTAACGTACCGAGTACAAAATCACAATTTAAATAATTCTGCAGGATCTGGTTTCGTAGCCATTGAGGTGCCTGAAAGTACTTATGGTAGGAGTAAATGTACTTACGGAGTAGCTACGCTCGCTCAGTACAGTCAGAAGGGGGGGCAGGGGGGGCCAGTTTGGCGTTGTAACGGGGCGTCAGGCACCAATCAGTCTTGGGATGGCACTACTTTAGAGGACCCCCCCAAAAGGCGAGTCCCCAATGTGGTCCCTAACGGTGCCTGCAGTGCCAATGGTTAGGAGGTGGCGGGTGGTCGATGGGCACCTCGGCAGCCTTATGTCCCGATGCTAACTAAAGTCCCTTGTACTGTATCATTATTGTCCGCCTCCCGCTGACAGCCAGCACACCACAGCAGGACCAGCATTGCACGTCTGCGACACTGGGCTGGCTAGCAACATCCGACCGCATCTGTCCATTCAACATTGTTCAAATGGATCATAGACCACTCATCTTGGTATTATTTACATCCTAGTGCTCATCGCGGTATCGCTCTGATATTGGTTCCGATTCTCTGAGCATCCTACCTATTGCACAATCGTTCGTCGCCGGGAATCCATCATTCCTGGTCGTCAGGCTGCCTCACGACCTCAGCACCTCCAAATTTATCACCGATGACTCGGCGCAGCACAGCACAAACTCCCGCGGAGTGATTCGTGTTCATTGGCATCTGAAGGATCTCGAACATGCCCAGCGACATCCAGGGCCGATTCTGCGTTGACTCCGCCCTCTCGCGCCTCCCGATCGCATACTCCATCAGCTGCGCTGACCATGGCCAGCTACCACCAAAATGGGCAGCCCTACTACCCGACAGGCAATCACCCTTCGTCTGGTCAGAATAGTGACCACGTTTCCTACGGTGCACAATCCATCTATCCTCCAAGATCTCTCGAACGCTCGCCGAGTTTTAACGCCGGGGACGACGAAAGGTATTTCGATGGAGAAGAGCAGCCGCGGGGAGCGCAGGGACAAAACTCGTATGCTCCGCCCACAGGAGCGGCAGCGAGTCCTCCAGTGAATCGATCTATGTCGGCGAACATGCACTCTTCGGTCACGATGCCATTCAGGACAAATACTCAACATGCAGGTTTGGGCGGGTACCAGCATCAGTACCAGACTGCGGCACCCGCTCACGCTCCCTACAATCCCGCTCAGTATCATCAACAACAGCAACCGCAAGCATCGTACAATCCACAGCTCTATGCAGCCCCCCAGCCTGCCCATCCCACAAGCACCTATCAGCCGTACGTTCCAGCTGCATATGGCGACCAGAATCTCGCTCGTCGCACATCTGTCTACAACAGCTACGGTTCCTACGATGCGAACTCTCAATATAATTACTCCTCGTCCCAACCGCCCCCGCCACCTCCTCGGTCTGACGCAGTCGCATTTCCCAACCCGCAAGCCTACGGTGCGTACCAGCACGATATATCACAACAGTACCCTGGCCAACATTACGGAGTCTCGTCGACTTATTCCCCTCCGGCTCCTGTGCCTCCACCACACGGAAGGTCGGCAAGCATACCTGAAGAGCCATATCCATATCCTACTGGCCCGTCGGCAACATACCCAGCCTCGAATCTGACGGCCTATTCGTCTCCTGATATAAACCGCAATTCCTCATTCGCGAGCCGTATGAGCAATCAGTCTGCTTCGCCACAGCCCTCGATTCCGACGCCACCGAGCAGACAACCTTCAAACCGGTCACCTCAGCGTACGAATACACTCGACCGTCATCCCCAAGGTAGATCATTACCAGGCCTTCCATCGGAGCCGGAGTCGGAAAGTGACTACTTCAATTCGACAGGATCGCGTAACAGTGGAGCACGCATCACTTCTTCGGGCTATGAGGATTTGATGCAAGATTTAGATGAGGCCATAGGACAGACCTCAAGGCATACAAGGTCAGGCAGCGACTACAGACACCGCAATTCGAGGGACGGTCCAGCGGATGCCGTTTTCCAACATCCGTCGCCCAGACCGCATCTTTCGCCAGACGAGGCGCCAACGCATCTCAACGGGAATATCGCCTCCACCGGGGATGCTTATATCAACTATGGCGCGTTCACCGACGACAGTGACGCCGAGGCCGCTGCGGGGCTTGCTGCTATGCAAGCACTAGACGAGCAAGAAAGGGCAGAGGACGCGCGCCGGCGTAGTGGTTCAGCCACCCTCTTCCCCAGCCAGCCACGTCCGGATGAAGCGGCTGCTAGACTTTCCTCCCAGGAACAAAGCAGCGACAGCGATTATGCCGGCTACGGTGATTTGAGTCTCGCTGGAGGAGGGTATGCGCCTGATATGGCTTATGGCGACTCTGTTGTGTCCAACTATGCGAGTGCTGCTACGGCCATGCCGCAAAGTGAACTATACGGGCGGCTGAACACCAGAATGAGTTCAGTACGCAGCTCTGGCGTCTCTTCAGAAGGACGGGAGTCGCAGACAAGCGGATTTGAGTCGATCCCGCCTCTAGACAGCGTTCATCCCTTCTCTTCCACGCATAATGTCGCTCGTGTGGACACTGGAGGCACAGGCGGTTTGACAGAACCCAGCCCGCACCCCAGACGGTTAAGCTATGAAGACGGAGACGAATCAACTATGATTGAGGCAGAAACTAATCGGACTTCTGCAAGCTCAAGTCCATCACGGGAAGAGATGCCGGATCTCTTCTTCCATCCTGGCATGAGCCAGCAGCGTCCCCTTCCACCTCCTCCTTCACTCTCGGACTCGGCTCTGGCACTGCGAATACCGCATTTGATGCCTGCTGGTACTTATACTCAACAAAGCCGATTCTCTCAGTACACCGATCCGAATTCACGCGCGTATCCAACTGCCCCAGACGCCTACCCCAACACCCTACTCAGCCCAGCGAGCGTTCCTCGGTCTACTTCGTTGTCTAGTGCGCGAAGTGCTCCTCGGGCCGAACAGGTTAACCGCTCGAAAACAGATGCAGACCGTCAGAGGCTTCTGAGGCAGCAGGGAAGACCGATGTCTGATCTGTATGACATCTCCAGCCCGCAATCTGCGGTAGCACTGGATCTTCCCGCAATTCCGAGGAAGCGGTACAACCCGTCCAAACTGACAGCTGATCAATTTAAGAAATGTTCGGAACCCTGGGCGCTGAGCTCGATCTTAGCGTGGATCAGGGATCTGGCCGAAGAAGAAGTTGATTTGAAAGAGAATAGCATTGTGGAAGGCATTGTTGCACTCTTCATGAACAAAGTACCAACAATGTACATTACGGAGGCTGAATCCCTGGGAGAACGAGTTATCAAGGAAATGTTCGACGCGAATGCTCTGGTGAGAGAAGAAGAATGGGTCAAATTCGGGCCCGGGACGATGTCTGGGGTTCTATATCAGCTGACAGGCACCGGATGTTACTCCTCGAAGCTACATTTATATCATACCCGTGGGCGATGCTACTCCTATCATTGCATGCGGACTCTCAAGAAACTCGATCTTGATAGCCTACCTATGGAGAAGAAGTCTGAAGATTGGGCCACATACTACAAGCTCAAGAAGGAGGACGTCGAAACCCACGACAAGAAAGAAATCGAACGGCAGAACGTTTTGCACGAAATTGTCACGAGTGAAGACCTTTATATCAGCCAGCTGGATGTGCTCAGAGTGCTATACCGCGATCGACTTTCTGGGGCGCAACCGCCTATCATTCCCACCAAGAAATTGCCGACATTTCTTAGGGAAGTGTTTGGTGGCGTGGACAAGGTCAAGAAAGTCAACCAAGACTACCTTCTTGGTCAGCTCAAATACCGACAGACAGAGCAAGGGCCCTGGATTGTTGGCTTCAGTGACATCTTCCGGGAATGGATCCGAAAAGCGAGGCCCGTGTATGTGGAGTATGCTTCCAACTTTCCTCGAGCGGATTACCTCATGCGTCGTGAAGCGGAACGAAATATTCCCTTCAAGAATTTCCTCGACCAGGCGCGGGAGGATAAGCGGTCGAACAGATTAGGATGGGACAATTACTTGAAGGCACCGATCACCAGGCTGCAGCGATACAGCCTGTTACTCTCCACCGTCCAAAAGAACATGCTGAAGGACTCCGAGGAGAAGGCCAACTTGGCCTATGCCCTGGACGAGATCCGCGCAGCCACTTTCGAATGTGATTCCAAGTTTGCGGAAATGACCAAGAAAATGGAGCTGATCGAAATGCAAACCAAACTGCGGCTTCGACCACCAATGGAGAAGGAAGTTGAACTTAACCTCGATCACCTGGGGAGAGAAATCATCTTCCGGGGCGACTTGCAGCGTGCTGGCGGTAAAGGGTTCCAATGGGTCGAAACCCATGCGATTCTCTTCGATCATTACCTGGTCCTAGCAAAGCCTCTCAGTCGGGATCGCAGGGAGGGATATTACGACGTCTCAAAAGTCCCCATTCCGATGGACTTGCTCGTCCTTGAAAGTTCCAATGACCCTGCAGTTATAAAGTCCTCGATGAAGGGTATCGGAGCCGTCACCACCACGGTCGCACCTCGTGGCGCAGTAACCCCTGATAATCGGCTTACCAGGGCGCAGTCTACTGCTAGTGGCGGGACTCCTGGTCCATTGTCACACACAAATACCAATCTCTCGGTAGGATCTGGCAACACAAGCCAGAGCATGGTTCCCATCACTACATTGGAGTCAGGCAGTTCCAAAGAGGAGAAAATCATGTATCCTTTCCGCGTCAAGCATCTCGGCAAGACTGAAAC